GGGATTGGAAATTTTTAAATCTCGTATTTTTTTTAGTCAACTGGTTCATGTTGAGGTATGATACTATATATATTTCTCTTATTTCTTTTTCTATGATGCAGTTACTATTTAGTGTTATACCTTCTGAACATTCTGGGCATTTTTGTAAATTAGTTTCCTGATCATTATTGGTGCTACAACAGACAAAGTGTTTCACTATTATAATGTTTCTCTCTTTTTCTTGTCTTAATTTTCTTCAAGTTACTTGATTTTTTTTGCTTCTTATTACTATCCACAATTTTTTCCGCTTGTCTTGATTAGATTCTATTTTGGGGTATTCTGGTTCCTATTTCATATAATTTTCTCTCCAGGATTTTATGAGCTGCTTTAGTTGTTCTTCTAAGAGATTTTTGGTTGTAATTTGGAACCATTCTGGTATAGATCCTTTGCTTGTATCTTGCAGGAGCTGAAGCATTTACCAGTCTCCTATTTTTTTTGTTTCCTGATCAATTAGCTGGTCCAGATATATCAGTTGATTGTTTCTGAGTTATGGTATAACTTTTTTAAATTCTTCTAATATAAGATATTCTCTGATCCAAATATTTTCCTTTTTCTATTCAAAGATATCTTGCCATTTCTAACTATGAAACATTATTTCCATATCTTTAGCAATACTGGTCACTTGAAGTGTGAAGTTGCCTTTGTCTGTTAAGTAACTTAAGGATTTGCAGATAAGAGATAGGTATGTTGTTTATATATGTATATATATTTAGATTATCTTGTTTTTAGGAAGCTTTAATATTCTTCTGAACCTTAAGTAATTAAAGCAACTTGATTTATCAAGTAAGTTTAATAATTTCTTGAGTTCTTTATAGTATCAAGAAAGGTGTTAACTTATATTAGCTTGATTATTATTATTTTTTTATTTATTAAAGTTTAACTGACAGGACAAAACTTTTTTATTAGTATTCAGTAGAATTAGATTATATGAGCAATTTGTATAACCTTTTTAAGACTACCTATTCTAAATAAATCTGTCAATTTTATTACATAGTGATACCATTTTTATCAGTTGTCCTACTCTGTCTGGAACTCTAGCATTATGAAGATCTGCTATAGACTTTCTTTTTATTGTTAATCTTTAGAGGGCTTGTAATTTGTGTATTTCTTTTTAGTGGGTTTTGTGTTCCATTTGATGATCATGGATACCATGGACGATCCCTATCATGTTTGGGTCCTCTACAGGCTTAGTTAAAACTTAGATAGTATAGTCCTTTGGTCATATTCTTGATATTCAGGTGATTCAATGGTGTTACATTATTGGGTGACATATAGTCTTCCATTGTCTCATTTTCAATCACTCTTGCAAGTTGGCCTTGCAGTGGTATTTCTTGATTATTTTGTAATGGATTGCTCCTCCTATTGGATTAGTTACCTTGATGATTGTTTCCGAATTTCTTCTCCTAGGATCTACCCATGCAGGTTTCCCAATATGGTACTAATGCTAATCACCAGCCTCCACAATCGCTGTCCACTTTGGTAGCCATTGGTTTTACAATCCATTGAGGTCTCCTATTAATTGTGTTATAGCCCGTTATATTTTTGACAAGTGCAAATAACTGAAGTCTCCTTTGTCTCCCATAGGGTATAGTTTTGCAAGAGATAGATGTCATTCCTATATCCATTAAGAGGCTTGAGCTAATTAACATTTTTTCTAGCTTGTCTTGGATCCCTACATATTTCAGATAGCAGGTTTATTGAAAATTACCTTAGTGCTAAAACTGATCAAGACTTGGATGACCTGAGTTTTTTTATACTGTGGTCAGACAATGGAAATCTATAGGTTATTTTTTATAAATACAAAAGTGTATGTAATAATAAACATGTATCTTGTATAATTTAACCTATGTTGTGAGAACTGTTCCTAGGTGGGATTGAACCAGTAACTCATAAATAGTAATCTGGAAGTATACCCACTGTACTATTGATCCACAGGTCTAACTTGATTATTGACTATGTAAAATTAATATTGATTCCCTTTTCTAACTATGAATTAGTTTATAGGTCACTTTTTTTTCTTTTAAAATTTTTTTTAAAAAAAAAGTAAAAAATTAATAAAACAATGTATACTTTTTTTCTTAATATTTCTAAATAACTTGATATATATATATTAAAAATACTTAACAACTTAATTTGAAAATTAAGATGAATTTCTAAAGTAATTAGTAAGAATAAAAGTAGAAATATAAGTAATAATGAGTTCCTAAAATATTTAGTATATAAAATTTTACAGATCATTTATGTTCCTTTTTGAGAAACAAATTTATAACTCTTTATTTTAATAGGAATAAAAGTCAGGAAATATTATTAATAAATGATTTGGATAATGAAAAACAATTGTGAATAGTTTTTTTATAGTTAGTAATTTAAAAATTTTAATGTTTCCTAATGAGAGACATTTGACTTTTATCCCTACTCCCCCCTTTAGGGATCTATCTTTATTTATAATTAAGTATTTAGTTAAATTTGGAATTAGATTTATAATAGTTTTTTAAATTGAAGTGATATTCAAAAAGATTTATGAGATCCATAATTTTCTTTATTGATTATACTTATTTATTGGCTAGACTAAAGTTTCAATGATATATGCTTCTCTTTTCTTAGTAACCTGTAGAAGTTTATATTTTCTTATAAATATATTGGTCACATTATATGAAGAATAGATTGCTATATATGGTATTAATAGGATTTTCTAAGTTAGATGATAATTATTATTTATTTATTTGAGTAGTGCTTGTTTATTTATTTATTTATTTACTTATTTAAACTTGTTTATATAAACAAGGTATTAATCTGTTGATTATAAGCTGTGTTACTATTTTTAGATCTATTGTATTATTAATGGCTACTATTATACAGTATATAATAAAATATAAATATATAAATAAGTTATTTATTAGACATATAAGTAAGTTAATATTTAAGTTGGCAAATATAATATATTTATGTTATATAATTCTAGATATGAAATATTGTTATATTGTTTATATTACTCTCTACTATTGAGTAATTAGGAATTGAACATTTTCCTAGATATTGTAAGCTCTGAGTTTCAATTGATTTATCAGTGGAATTTATTGATTACAGTATTTCTTTTAGTATCAAAAAAGGTGTTAACCTGTATTGGCCTGGCTAAAAACTTTGTGGAGTTAAGTTTGGACCTTTAGGAGCTTACTGTGAATCAAATTTTTTGAAGTTTTTTTTTTTATAAAGAAAAACTAGACTCTGACAATTTTTTTTTGATACTTATCCTATAATTGTTATTAAGAAAACTGGAGATCAATAGAAAGAGTTTTTTTATATCAAATTTCAAAAAATTTTGTGCTACACTATATATATAAATTTGTATATAAATTTATAAAAAAATTTTTGAAATAAAATTATTAATTAATTAATATTAAAACTTAAGTATTTTTTAAATTAGATTATAAATTATAATATTATTTTGATTAGATCTGTGGGTCTATAGCACAATAGTAGTGCTCACAGGTCATAATCACAAGATCCAGAGTTCAATATCACACAAGAGCCATGTGAAAAAAATAATCAGGTTGCATGAAGATAGGACTTCTGATCTCCTTGTTGATCGTCAGGCTGAAAAAAGGATCTATCGTGAGGATTGTATAAAGAAAGGCCTCTGGTATGGTTACACAATTTACACCTGACCTAACCCCCCTGAATTGAACAGGAAACAAATCCCAGAATCCCACTTTTAGGATTGCGATAATCATCTGAACATATCACTAATCCCAAACTATACCAGCAGACTTTGGGACCCTGCTTTCAGGACTGCGGCAATCGTCTAAACATTTTCTACCCCAAACTGTACCAGCAGAATCTGGAATCTGACTACCCTAACTTGGAATATCCCAATCCAGTGCTTGTTTAAATGAAGGACTTGTCAAACAGGACTTGTCTATAATGCCGCAGGTGGTGACAAAGAAGATAGAAATTCTTTTCAAGATTCAAGTAAAAAGTATCAGGGTATCTGGGTGATTAAAAACAACACTTGAGGATTTGACACTAGTGTATAAGTTAGCATAGTAGTATAGTCCCTTATTAACAGAATTAGCTAATTATACCAATATCACCATTGATGACTATTATTAACCTTCCAGTCCCTAGTCAGGCGTACCATCTATAGAGAGGTTTCAAGCAGGTCTGCCTAGGACAAGCTGGATAGTTTATCATTAATCTGCATGTATATATATGAGATAATTGATGTAAAGCTTAAGATTTAATTATTAATAAAAAGCTCATATCTAATACCAGTTGCGGTTTAAATAAAAAAAAAAAAAAAGAATTTTATTTTGATTAAATAATTTTTTATTAAATTAGAATAAAAAATAAAAGGGTAAAAAAGTTTGTTCCAAACTGTATATAAATACAAATAATTTTATATGATCATGAAGGAAATACACTAGAGAGATCTATTTGTATTTTATTTTAGTAAAATCACATAAATATTTTTATTGTATTTATATACTTTTAAAACTTTATAGGCAATGACTTATATCTGGTTATGGAATAAATTAATCCTTTTATCTTTCCTATAAATTGAATATAAGGCTAATGTATTGATTTACTAGTTTAAGATTGATTCTGATTTGGCCCTAATACCGTCTCATAATAGTTCATTTTCATTAATCGACACTTTTATTTTCAATGTTTACGTAACAAAAACAATAATTTAAAAAGGCGAAATATCTAATTGCAACAATTTAATGTACAAGTTTGTTACCAATTATTCTATTAATAATAGCTGTAATATCTCTAGCAAAATCCCTAATACAATTAAAGCATTGATAATAAAAACTTTTTATTTTAGTCGTCTTTGAGAATGAATATTGAAATTCAGAAATTCTATGTGACTTAGTTTTCAACGTCTTTAAATACGTTCTTAAATAACCGATTTTTTTTTTTTTTTTTTGAATAGTTATATATCGAAATGTGTTTGTAAATCAAATTTTGGCTTGCTGTCGTGCGGCCAGTTTAGCCTAGTCTCCCCGGAAAAACAAAACAAATAAATACAAATATTGCGAAACAATTAATAAACAACCTCAACATTACCTTAACAGCATCACCACCAAATACCATGCAAACAGTTTGCCAAACTCCAAGACCAATTCTGGGAGTAACTCCACGATAGAATCCTTTGATACCATTGTTCTTATAAATAAATTTGGCACATGTAATAATGCTCATCTTTTCGGGACGACCTGGCGTTTTTACCTGCGACTGCATTTCAACACGAATAACTTCAATAGGCTATCGTTTAAAAATAATTAGTTAAAGCACATGGAAAATAAAATGAGAAACTTATAAGTGCTCGCACCTGATTCCAACAAGATAATCCACCACCAATGGCACTAGCTATAATCTTTTGTATCGGGGACAATGGTTTACTATAGTCCGGTATCTCACCGTCCCGAATTCTTCTAATAAGCATCTCGCCGGCTCTTGTCAAGCCAAACCTGCTAGCCCAATTGGTGCACTGCCGTACTGCCACGGCATTGACACCCTTATTGATACCTCGAATGCCCTCCCTTTTCCAGATATCAGCGGCGACTTTAATAGTTGAGATGTCTTTCCCAGCTTTGTGACGCGTGACCTCCACAGTTTTCATAAAGGTGCAAAAGCCCATGGTAGTATATGCTTGTGACAAACCTCCGGCCATGCCGCCAACAATACCAGCCTATTAACAAGTTACCAGTTAATATCAATTTTAACATAGTTAGCATAATAGTAAAGAAAGAATTACCAAAAATGGCGAGGCACCTGCGACTCTTGCCCTATATTCAACCTCACTTGCGGTAAATATGAGTACTGCACCCTAGTGAAAAAAGGTAGTTTAATTTATATTACATAATCTTACAAAAAATCTACGTACGATACAGTCAATAGCCTTAACTTTACCTTTGTGCTAGCCTCAATCCATGCCCATGGTATTAATCCCTGATAAAAACCCAGCATTCCACCTCGTTTATACGTTTTTTTAAAAGCATCTATGATGCTGTCGCTGCGATTTGCTGCCAGGTGAGTTTTTAATACTTCAAATGGTTGGCCAAGCGTCGACACTTCGAACATGTTCAATCCTATTTGTATGACATTCGAAAGTATGTAATTCAGTATCGTTCTTCTATTATTGAGTCAGCCAAATTTTTTGAAATAAAATTTCCTAACACATTCGTCGAACGAGTTACTGTTAAAACAATTTCGTTGCGTATTGGTCTTCCAGAAAAAGGCATAAAAAGTTATCTCAAAAAATTGAATCTATAAATAATTTACCGCCGCCAACCGCAAGATTAACAAAGCTAACTGGCTTTTTTTCCAACTTTCCATCAACCTCTACTATGCCAGTATTAGCCGGTGCCATAATGAAATTTTAATGCTAGTTAATATTCTTCTCGAGAGGTTTAAATCTAAGTCTCACGAGATGTAACGTTACAGTTTTGATCCGTAAACTATATAGATTATGCATAATGCGCAATACTCGTGGTCCGTTGTATCTGATTCTGCCACATCTATATGGTTAGATTTTTGCTTACATAATAATCTATCTACAGAAAAAAAAATGATTAATTCATCTAACTTTATTAAACAAGGAAAAAAAATATTAAAAAAAAATTTTTTTTACTTATAATTGTATTGTTATATATTTGTTGAAATATCAAAAATATCAAATAAATAAGTATTTAATAGATTATATTCAACTCTTTATATTGATTCTCTAATTATATATTGTGATAAAAATAACCTCTAATACTATTAAATAGTTATTTTTAGTCATAATATTCATTCTATTTCCATTTTTATCTATTTATTTATAATTATTTCTTTAATAT